AGATCGAGACTTAATTGCCGACCTGCTCCTCGGACAGCTCCTCGCTACTAGCACCCATGCCGTTGAGCACCAACCAACCAGCCAGCCGTTGGCCTTGCCCCTGCCCCCAAGTTCAGTTTTTTAACTTTGACGCGCCTCAAAAATTGACTCACGTTGGCCATGCCCCTGCCCCCAAGTTCAGTTTTTTATCCCGAGCGATTGCATGAACACAGAGTGCGAAGATTCTACATCAAAGCTCAGCTGCCGCGCCTGCTCCTCTGACAATTCTTCACTGGCACTCATATTGTTGAGCCGCACACCACAAGCCAGTCCCTCTCTCTGGCCTGGCTTGGCCTTCCGACTCAGTTCTTTATCCCCAGCGACTGCATGAACACTGAATACGACGACTCCAGGTCGAAGCTTAATTGTCTCGCCTGCTCCTCTGACAGCTCTTCACTGGCACTCATGCCGTTGAGCCGCACCAGCCAGTCCCTGACCTTGGTCCGGCCCTCGAACTCGGCAGGTAGAGAGGGCACACTGCAGAGGGAGTTGAGGAGGAGCGAGAGGAGGGGATGCACCTGGGGGAAAGGGAGAAGGGGGAAGAAGAGGGAGGGGGAGAGGGGGGGAGAAGGGGGGGAGAAGGGGGGAGAAGGGGGGGGGGGGGAGTTTGTCGGGTAGGAGAGATGGAAAATTTATGGCTAGCACACATCCTGCAGGGTGTTTTTGAGAATTCTCAAAAACACCCTCCAGAATCAAGAGATGGATAATTGATGGCTAGCACACATCCTGTCGAGGTGCGCGAGGCAGTCCAGACAGTCCTGACTTTGACCCAGCCCTCAACTCAGCAGGGAGCGAGGGGGAGGGAGAGGAGGGGAGAGGAGGGGATGCACGTGGAGGATGGGGGGGGAGGGAGAGAGTGCAAGGGAGGTGCGGGATGAGCAAGTTGCCTGGCTGTCTCCATGGCCGTTATTAACGAACATAGGCAGCGATCAGGGCTCCCCATGCTTACCCGATCAACGCCCAGCATGTGCAGCTTGACTGTATCCATGGCTGTTAGTGAAGTCCACCAAGCTGTATCAAGAATTCCAACTATTATTACCTGATCAACAGCCAGCATGTTGAGCTTGACTGTATCCATGGCCGTTATAAAGTGTTGCACCGTTTCAGCCACCGCTACAGTAGCACTCCCGCACTCTACAGTAGCCGATTTATGCTCTACAGTAGCAGGAACGCCGGCCACCAGTAGACGATTCTTAGCTGCAGGACAGTCCATCTTGTACGTTGTCATGAATCGCTCTATATCGGGTACAGCACCCTGCAGTGCGGTCCGCAGCGTCCGGAATTGACCAATCAGCCTCGCGCAAGCGGGCTCGTAATCCGCGGGGGAGATCAAATCCCGGACGTACGCCTTTTCGAGCTTCTCGGTAGTCTTTATAATCGCGAATAAATCCGCGAAGCTCTCGTACTGTTCTCTCTCTGCCTCCCCTTGCCAAAGCGGGATTTCAGAACCTCCCCCTCCCCCGGAAATCCCGGAGCCGCTGAGCCCTGCTCGTGAACTGTAGGTCGCCATATGTGACTAAAACGAGGTGTGACTATACTGAGGCTGTAATAAACTCTTATTATCGCTGTACAAATTGGTGCTTCAACGCTGCCGCTAGAACCTTGCAAAGCTGTGACGAGGTGACTATACAGAGAAAAGGTTCCAAGTATGTAACCAGTCCGAAGCGTATAGGAGAAGGGAGCGACTGAATTCCAAGCGACAGAGACAGCGCCTCCTGCTGCAAGGATGTCAACTCGAATGGCTTACGCCTGCCTCGCTCCTAAAGCTCTCCGTTCAAAATTTATGCTCCGTTGTTGTGGCCTAGCTTATTGTATTAATATTTAACGTCTTGTACATTTTCAACGGGTCGATGTAGTATAATGGTCAGTATCTCCGCCTGTCACGCGGAAGATCCGGGTTCGATCCCCGGCATCGGCGACGTCCTTTTGCTATACCTGAAATTTCGTGTGGCTGGATGTCTTGGGTAGTGAGGAGTGCGAGTAGGTCCACACATCTCCAAGCTCAAGAGTCTCAACAACTGCGCTGATGTGGCGCAGGCGCAGCTCGGAGTGTGCACCATGAAACTTTGCTGTGGCATACTGTTGCGCTGTTGTACACATTGCGCCATGAATGATGAACTCTACACATGTTCTTTACAAGAATTTCCAGCACCCATTGAAGTGACATGGCATATGATGATGCTGTCAACATATACTTGTATATATATATAGGCTAGATAGGTGCATGCTCATAGAGAGTACAACTCCTTGGGACAAAACCACCTTGTATCACTCATTCTAGTTCATTGCGTTATTCCGTGATGGTATCACGTCAGGTTAGGTCCCGCTTACGCTTCCGCCCCTAACCCTAGCCCTAGCCCTAGCCCTAGCCCTAGCCCTAGCCCTAGCCGTAGCCGTAGCCGTAGCCGTAGCCGTAGCCGTAGCCGTAGCCGTAGCCGTAGCCGTAGCCGTAGCCGTAGCCGTAGCCGTAGCCGTAGCCGTAGCCGTAGCCGTAGCCGTAGCCGTAGCCGTAGCCGTAGCCTGTTTCCTAGCCGTGTCCTAGCCGTGCCCTAGCCATAGCCGCGCATGCGCCCTAGCTCTGTTCGCGCCGGCCCTATCACTTCGCGCCGGCCCCGTTAATTCGTGCCGACCCCGCTAATTTGTGCCGGCCCCGTCACTTCGCGCTGGCCTCGTCAGTTCGCGCCAGCCCCGCCGCTTCGCACTGGCCCTGTCAGTTCGCACCGGCCCCACTTGTTCGCGCCGGCCCCGTCACTTTGCGCCGGCCCCGCTAGTTCGCGCTGGCCCCGTCAGTTCGCGCCGGACCCGCTAGTTCGCGCCGGCCCTGTCATTTCGCGCTAGCCCCGTCAGTTCGCGCCGACCCCGCCGCTTAGCACTGGCCTCGTCAGTTCGCGCCGACCCCGCTAGTTTACACTGGCCCTGCCATTTCGCGCCGGCCCTGCTAGTTTGCGCTGGCCCCGTCGCTTCGCGCTGGCCCCGTCAGTTCGCGCCGGCCCCGCTAGTTAGCAGCGGCCCCGTCCGTCCGCGTCGGCCCCGCTAGTTCGCTCCGGCCCCGTCGCTTCACGCTGGCCCCGTCAGTTCGTGCCAGTCCCGCTAGTTCGCGCCGGCCCCGTCAGCCCTGCTAGTTCGCACCGGCCCCATCACTTCGCGCCGGCCCCACTAGTCCGCGCTGGCCCCGCTAGTCCGTGTCAGCCCTGCTAGCCCGTGCCGGCTCCGCTAGTTCGAGCTGGCCCTGCCATTTCGCGACGGCCCCATCTCTCCGCGCCAACCCCGTTAGTCCGCGCCGACCCCTGCTCACACCGGCCCCTGTTCGAGCCGGCCCCAGTTCGTGCCGGCCCCTTTTGCTGCCGTGCCGCGATGCCACGGTGCCACGGTGCTGCCGTGACGCCGTGCTGTCGTGACGTCGTGCTGCCGTGTCGCCGTACCGCTGTGTCGCCATGTCGTTGTACCGATGTGTCGCCGAGCGGCCAGGCCGTCGTGCTGCAGTGCCGTTGTCAGCAGGTGTGGTCGTGGTGATGGCGGACGCTGTGATCCGCGTGGACGCGAAGGTTCCGACTATCGACTTTGAGGCGTGGCTCATCGACCTCCGCCGTCAGCTTACAGGTTAGTGCCATGACGGCTACTCCTTGGCTGTTCATGTCGACGGTAAGCTTCCCTGCCACGCCGCGCCTGCTGCCCTACCTGACACTCCCACGTCTGCTGAGCGTGAGGCCTTTGCCACTGCTGAGCTTGCCCGCGCTGTCTGGGAGTCGCGCGACGCGGTAGCGCAGCTTGCTATTAGTCACACCCTCCCCCTGTCTGAGTGTCTCCGCTTTACTGCTGTAGCGAATGCAAAGGAATACTTAGATGCACTCATCGCGCGCTATTCCACTCCCTCCTCTGCCTTACCCGGCCGTCTGATCCTCCCCATGCTGTTCCCAATCTTGCGTCATTCCTGACTGTCGCTGACCTTGCCACTCATCTGCGCGCACTTAAGACTAGTTATCGCGCTCTTAGCACTGAGGCCCAGCTCACTGCATTCCCCTTTCCCCTCTACGCTACCCTTTACCTCATTGCCACGCGCCTTCCTGACCGCCTTGCCACTGTCCGCGACCACTTCCTTAGTCAGCACCTACGTGACCTAACCCTTCCTACCTTTGTCACCGCCCTGTCCGCAATAGAGACCCGCCAGCGCACTCTCGCTCAGTCTAGCGGTACTCCGGCGGTCCCTATGCCTGTGCTCCCTCCCAGTGCACTTACTCTGACGTCTCTGCCGCTGTTGCTTAGACGGCCCCTGCTGCAGAGACCGCTGCGGCGGCCTCGGCACATGCTCGTCAGGGTAGGGGACGTCGGGTCCGGAGGGGGCGTGGCCGCGGGAGGGGTGATGGGGGTAGCGGAGGTGGCGGCGGTGGCGGCGGTGGTGGAGGGGGCGGTGGTGCAGACGAGGGGAACGAGGCTGATGCCCCGATGCAGAAGCAGGAGAAGCAGCAGCCGCAGTCGCAGCAGCAGCAGCAGCCGCCATGGGGACCCCCGCCGCCGTGGTGGCCTGGCAGGGCGCTGGTGGTGGGTCGCGCAGCTCGGTGTCGGGTGGCGGCTCCAATGTGGTCACCTGCCACTACCAACTTCAGTCCGGCCCCCGTCGCGACATCGTCTGGGACAGTCCCGGTCACACCGCCGCACGTTGCTGCTGCCGCCTGGACAACCTCTTCCGCCTCCGCTTCGGCCCCGCGTCGGACCCCCCTGACTGTTACAGCCAGGTGCGTCGCCGTGTGCTTGTCTTTGAGTTGGATGTGGATGAGATTAGGTATGCTATATATGTAATGTATGCTGATGATTCTAGTGTGACTGGACCGTATTACCATGTGTTGCCTAGTGTAGGGGTGTTCACTGTGTGTAGCCTAGGTTCCCCTGCTGCGTCAGGCGTAGGACCACCTGCCTTGTTTAGCCTCGGCTCCACTCTAGCTCATCCGCCTTCAGACGCCACCACCGCGCTCTCTTTTACGCTAGACTCGGGGTGCGTCCACCTGCTTCTTTCGCGACCACACTGCGCTCACGCCGCTTGCTGCCCCTGCTGCTGTAGCGCTTGCTAACCCAGGTACGGTAGTTGCACGTAGCTCCACTACCCTTCCCTGTCCAGCTCTTCCCTCGGACTCCCTTACAGACTTGCACGTCCCTTGTTCTCCTGGAAACTAGTTGGTGTCGGCTGTCTTCAGGACCTCGGCATCACCACTACGTTTCCTGGACACGAGCAGTACGCATTCTGCACCGAGGCCGCCACTGGTGCCCCTCTCACCAAAGTTCCCTCGGGACCCGGTGTCTGGCCTGTTCACTCTAGACACTGTGTCCCTCCCAGTAAGAGCGTCCCCCCAGATGGTCGCGCCCTCCCTGGTCGATGCGGCTTGCTTGTGTCGGTCGCTCACCCACACGTCGTTGTTGTGGCACCACCGCTTAGGTCACATGTCACAGCATGGTCTTGTCTTAGGTCTACCTTCATCTTTCCGTGCCCTCCATCCCTTGCCTGCACCGTCGTGCACGCCCTGCGTTGAGAGCCGGCTGCGCCATGCCCCTCACTCCTCGTCGCTTTCCCCTACCACTGCGCCACTCTAGACCCTGCACCTGGACGTCTGGGACCCAGCCCCCGTCCCTGGGTCGCGTCGAGAGCGCTACTTTCTGGTGCTTGTCAATGACTACACGCGCTACACCATGGTGTTTCCCCTGGAGCGGAAGGCCGACGTGCCTGACATTCTTATCTCGTGGGTCGTAGATGTGCTAGTCTGCCGCAGCCTCCCTGAACTGCGTCTTCACTCCGACCGTGGAAGCGAGTTCACCTCCGGCCGGCTTGGCCAGTTTTCTTGTGCGGAGGGCATCACCTAGTCGTACACCCTGCCGGACTCCCCGCAATAGAATGCGGTTGCTGAGCAACGTATCGGTTTGGTCATAGAGATGGCTCGTACCTCCATGTTCCATGCCGGTGCACCCCAATTTCCGTGGCCATTCGCTGTCCGCTACACCGCTCACCAGCTTAACCTGTGGCCACACTCCCAGCGGTCGCGGGTTTCGGTGACCCTCCTCTAGACCGGGACCTTTGGTGACGCTTCTCTGTTCCAACTCTGCGACTGCTCGTGCCTCTAGCACGGACAAGCTCACTGCCCGCATTGTCCCATGTGTCTTCCGTGGCTTCCCCCTAGACGCGTCTAACTGGCACTTTTACCACCCGCCGTCTTATAGTTTCTTTCACTCTCGCGATGTCACTTTTGATGAGTCTGTCTCCTTCTACACCCGCTTTCCTCACCGAGGTCTTCTGGTTGCCCCGCCTCTGTTCCAGGTCCCCACTCCCCTGGTAGCACCTTCTCCTCTCCCTCCTCGTCCTGCCACGTCTGGTGTGTCTCACGTCACTCCCCTCCCGTCGGTCGTCCCAGTGAAGGAGTCGGCTCACTTTGGAGGCCCTGCAGCTCCAAGTTTGCCGCCTGTCTGCGTCCCAGTTGCTCCTCCTCCGCCACCGCAGCCGCAGTCGCCGTCGCCGCAGCAGCAGCCGCCGCCGCCTCCGTCACAGGGGTTCGAGAGCTTCGAGGGTGCGGGTGTTGAGGAGGGTGTTGGTTCTGGGGGTGCTCGTCCCGGGGGTACTGCCGTGGCTTATCCCGGCGGTCCTGAGGGTGGCACGGGTGCTGGAAAGGTTTCTCGTTCTGGGGGTGTTGACGTGTAGCGTACTGGAGGTAGCCATGGTGCAGCAGGAGGTTCTGGTGTCAGCAAGGAGCAGCAGCAGCAGTCGCCGCCGGTGTCCGCCCTTTGCCTCCTCGGTCTTCCTTTCCCCGACCGCCTGCCTACGCCTCCCCCGCCTTTCTACGGCCCTGTGTTTCCTCTTCCGGACTCGTCCTCGGCTCGTTTCCCCCCTCGTTCTTCTGCTGTGTCTCCTCCCTTGTCTCCTGACTCGACCCCCCCTCCCCCAGGTGGTCTCACCGTGCCTCTCGTGCTTGTCCTGTCTCTGCTGTTCAGCGCTCTCATCCTACGTTGCTCCATTCTCATGCGTCTCGTGCTCCCCTTCTTCCGTCGCCTCCTCAGTCGTTGCTTGTTGCCTGCCGTCCTCCTCTCTCTGACTTCCTCCGTACCGCTAGTCCGCTTGTCCCTCGCGTTCTCGCTTCTCTTGTTACCGACCCGTCCGTTCCTGCCTCCAGTCTTGACGCTCTTGTCGCTGTCGTCGTTGACTTTGCCTCTACCCGCCGCCTTGACTACGGTGCCACTCTGGTTTCTGACCATGCTTGTCCTCCGTCCGTTGGGGGTGCTTCTGCCCTTGGCAATGACGTTCTAGAGGACAAGTAGAACGGGCCCGCTTTCCTGTCCGAGGCCGCTCCCCATCTCTGCTCCATGCTGCTAGTCCATGAGGGTGACTCAGACGCCCTTGACATCCAGACCCCTCGCACTTACGCTGAGGCGACCTCGGGACCCTGGGCCTATTAGTGGATAGCTGCCATGGAAACGGAGATGGCATCTTGAAGATCCACCGGCACCTACGTCGTCGCAGTTCCCCCACCTTGGATGAACGTAGTCGATGGCCGGTGGCTCTTCAAGGTGAAGCGCCCTCCTGGAGAGCCGGCGGTGTTCAAGGTGCGCTACGTTGTTAGAAGCTTTTGTCAGTGCGAGGGTGTTGACGTCTTTCAAACCTTCGCCCCGACCCCGACGATGACCACTCTTTGGGCGTTGCTTCACATAGCAACACAGCGCGACTGCGAGTTGCACTTCCTCGACTTCTCCACAGCGTTTCTCCAGGGTAGTCTGCACAAGCAGGTCTACCTGCGCCGTCAGTCAGGCTTCACCAGCATTTTCGTCCCTGGGACCGAGTGGCTCTTCTGGCGTCTGGTGTCCAGCCTGCGGCAGGTGCCTCGCGAGTGGCATGACATGTTGCGTGCTACGTTAGCTGACCTGCAGTTCTACCCGTGCTCTGCAGACCCTTCGCTCTTCATTCGCTCAGGCCAGGCTCCATTCTACATCCTAGTCTACGTAGACGAGCTGGTCTTCGCTACTACGGACAGAGAGGCACTGGCCTTCGTGAAGGCTGAGCTGCTGAGGAGACACACCTGCACTGACCTAGGAGAGCTATGCTGCTACCTTGGCCTGCACATCTCTAGGGACAGAGCAGCGCGCACCATCACTCTTACAGAGTCACACTTGGTGCGCCCGGTCCTTTAGAGGTTCGGCCTTCAGTTCTCCTCCGCACAGCCCACACCTCTGCCAGTAGATCACAGGCTCTCGGCTCCAGTTCCTGAGGAGTCTGTAGAGCCTAGTGGTCCTTACGCAAAGCTGGTGGGTTGCCTCATGTACCGGATGACTTGCACTCATCCAGATTTCGCATACCCTCTCAGCATCCTGGCTCGCTTTGTGGCCACCGGCAGACACCGACCACAGCACTGGTCGGCCGCTAAGAGGGTTTTGCGTTATCTAGCAAGTACATCGGGCATGGGGCTAGTGCTAGGAAGACGCAGGCCAGTGGTCCTTACAGGGCACACAGCCGCTTCGTTGGCAGACGACGCTGAGACGCTCGGGTCCTCCCAGGGCTAGTGATTTAGCCTTGGTGCATGTGCCATCTCGTGGAGGTCCACTCACTCGTCTTCTGTTGCCCAGTCTAGCTGTAAGGCCGAGATCTACGCTGGTGCCATGGTGGCACATGATCTCCGCTGGCTGATCTTCTTGCTCACAGACTTAGGTGAGCGGCCTAGCTTTGCCCCTGTCCTGTACGCTGACAACAAGGCCATGATCCTCCTGTGTCAGGAGCCTCGACTGGAGGGGAGAGCGAAGCACATCCAGCTGCGGTACTTCCTCCTGTGCGAGCTACAACAGCACCGCCAGGCCCGCGTAGTTCACTTGGCCTCCGATGCCAACAAAACTGATATCTTTACTAAGGCGTTTGCGCCTTAAGATCATCAGTGGCACTGTGTACAGCTTGGTCTAGTTCCTGTAGCTTCTCACTTGCTAGGACCTTGATTGTGTACTATATCGTATATTACCTTGACTGGCCTTGTGGCTCCTGTTCCAATGGCTGGACTAGTAGTGCCGCCCTAGGTTACTCTTGTTTCCTTCGTACGCTTGCTGACTGGTCTTCAGATCTTGTCTAGCCTGGGAGGTGTGTCAATATATATTTGTATATGTTTTAGGCTAGATAGGTGCATGCTCATAGAGAGTACAACTAATTAGGACAAAACCACCCTATATCACTCATTCTAGTTCATTGCGTTATTTTGAGAGATGTGGCATATTTTACATGGCACTAGAAGTTGAGGTACTGTTGAAAGTACACACATGTTTGAGGTGAGATAATTCCCCCGTCTGAGCACTCGTTGATTACCTGCACTCGTGACAATAGTGAAGGAAATGGTGAAGAATATAGAAAAACAGGCAGGGAGGAGGATTGTGACATTAGAAAAAGGGGCAGTAAAGAATGCTGAAGTCTGAGCACGTAATTGTGAGAGCAGAGTGCAGTAGGCGCCATTAACAAACAACCACAGGAAAAACAACTCACAGGGCAGACACCGCAGGGAATGTTGGTGAATGCGGATGATTCTGGAGCTCGAGATCTAGATGGCCGATACACCTCCGCTCCCTGGCGTGGAATAGAGGGGTGGAGGTGGGTACAAGATAGGGAAGAGGGTGGAGGAGAGGAGGTGGAGTGGCAAGAAAGGCACCTTGAAACCTGCGAATGCAGACAACTCAGAAGCCTGAAATCTAGCTGGTAGGTGCAGCTCTGCTCCCTGGCGTGTGTGTGGGTAGAGCATAGGAAGGAGCAGGAGAGCATTGGAGAGTGATGGAGTTGTTGTGAGTAAAGGTATTATAGGTAAAGGGTGAACAAGCTAACCGATCTAGATGGGCCATACACCCCCGCTCCCATCCCATGTCAGGGGGACGCGTTGCTCCCCAGATATTATTAACCTTTGAGACGTCAAAAGAAAAAGGGAAAAGAAAAGAAAAGAAAAGAAAAAACCTGCTCACCACTGATTATCTATGACCCTGTGAGTCACAGAGCAGAAACCCTCATTTCAGAGCAGCAGGCCATGAGGAGGATCTGACGCTAAGAGTATCCAACATAGAAACAACTTATAAGGGGGATGGAAGTACTCACCACGGGGAATCGGGAGTCCTTGACAGTGCCTGAACACGTCCAGCTCCCAACCGACCACACAATATCAGTGCGCTTATAAAGAGGACACACCTCTTCACAACAGTAGCACTCGGCACTCACCACGGGGAATCGGGAGTCCTTGCCAGTGCCTGTGCTGATGAACACATCCAGCTCCCGATCAAACACCAGCGTGCTGATGACCTGGGGGGGACGAATATGGGTGCGGATGGGTGTGTATGGGTGAGACATAGGCGTGTGTGTCAAACCAGGTGAACACGTCCAGCTCCCGATCAAACACCAGCGTGCTGATGACCTCGTGGATATGAGCGGACGCGGGTGGGTGTGGATGGGTGTGGATGGGTGTGGATGGGTTTGTATGGAGCCACACGTGCATGTGTGGGGTGGAATGTGCATGCATGCGCCTGTTGTTGAGTTGACTCAGAAGCACGTTCAAGCATGTGACAACATGTGACATGCGACAAGCATGTGACAAGCATGCGACCAGCATGTGACAAGCATGTGACAAGCATGCGACAAGCATGTGACAAAATGTGACAAACATGTGACAAGCATGTGACAAGACGTGACAAGCATGTGACAAGCATGTGACAAGCATGTGACAAGCATGTGACAACATGTGACAAGCACGTGACAAGCATGTGACAACATGTGACAAGCACGTGACAAGCATGTGACAAGCATGTGTAAGCATGTGACAACATGTGACAAGCATGTGTAAGCATGTGACAACATGTGACAAGCATGTGTAAGCATGTGACAACATGTGACAAGCATGTGTAAGCATGCACCTACTTCGTCCTCACCTGTGTGAAGTCTTCCATTCGAAGGTCGTCCTTGCCCCCGCTGCCAGCCCTCCTGGTGTGTAGTGAGTCAACGGCTATGTGCACCTCACCTCACCTCATCTCACCTCATCTCACCTCACCTCACCTCACCTCACCTCACCTCACCTCACCTCACCTGTCTGAAGTCTTCCATTCTCAGGTCCTCCCTGCCCCCGCTGCCAGCCCTCCTCACCGCCTCCACCACCCCCTCCAATGTATCTCCTCCCTGCAAGAAGGAGAGGCCCACACACACCCCACACACACACACACACACACATACACACACACACGCACACACACACCAGAGATGTAAGGCGCCGTTCTGGTTGAGTCTCTGTCTGCCCCCACTGCCAGCCATTCTCACTGCCTCCACCCTCCCCTCCAGGGTGTCGCCTCCCTGCCAGGAGAGGAGGGGGAACACACTACCGAGGGGCCTCACTGCCACACACACACCAGCTTCACTATGTGCGCCACACACAGACACAGACACAGACACAGACACAGACACAGACACAGACACAGCCACAGCCACAGCCACAGCCACAGACACAGCCACAGCCACAGCCACAGCCACAGCCACAGCCACAGCCACAGCCACAGCCACAGCCACAGCCACAGCCACAGCCACAGCCACAGCCACAGGTGCCTCAATGCTTGGATGGAACTCGGCATTGAATTCAGCATCCGTGTACCACGCGCCTCCCGTCACCTCTCAGAAACATACACAACTGCCTGAATGGGCTCAGCATGTGCCTGAATGGGCTCACCTATGCACTATCGCATACCTGCTTCACTATGTGCGCCAAGCACAGCTGTCTTAGCGCCTGGATGAATTCGGCGTCGAACTCAGCATCCGTGTACCACGCGCCTCCTGTCACCTCCCGGGATGGCTCGAGCTCAAACAGCATGTAGAGCTTGCGGCTCTTGTTCTGGGAGGGAGGGAAGAGAGGGAGGGAAGAGAGGGAGGGAAGAGAGGGAGGGCAGGGAGCACAGGGAGCACAGGGAAAAAAAAAAAAAAAGGGACGGAAGAGGATTCGAGCTCATCATGCAGCACGTAGAGATTGCGGTTCTTGTTCTGCACTAAAATGGCTCGTTTGGCTAAATGACTGGTTGACTCACGTTAACTGGTTTGACTCACGTTAACTTGTTTGACTCACGTTAACTGGTTTGACTCACGTTAACTTGTTTGAGTCACGTTAACTGGTTTGACTCACGTTAACTTGTTTGACTCACGTTAACTGGTTTGACTCACGTGAACTTGTTTGACTCACGTTAACTTGTTTGACTCACGTTAACTGGTTTGACTCACACTCACTGATTTCACTGCCATCATCAGCTTCTTGCCCTCCAGCGTCTTGATGATCTTGGTGATCTTTGTTTGACTCACATGGACCGACTTGACACACATTGACCGACTTGACTCACATTGACTGATTTCACCGCCTTAATGAGCTTCCTGCCTTCCAGCGTCTTGATGATCTTGGTGATCTGTGGCTGCTGCAGATTGGTCTTCATCTTCATGTCGCGAGTCCAGATACCTACGGCAACAACAAAGGGGGGGCAAAAGAGGGGGAAGGAGGGGCAGAAAGGACGGCAGCTTTGATCAGCTTCCTGCCCTCAAGCGTCTTGGTGATCTGCGGCTGCTGCAGGTTGGTCTTCATCTTCATGTTGCCAGTCCAGATTCCTGCGGCAGAACATGGGAGGTAGGGAGGAGGAGGATGGATGCCCAGAAAGGACGTTGGGTTGACCAGCTTCCTGACCTTCAAGGCTGCTGCAGGTTGGTCTTCATCTTCATGTCGCCAGTCCATCCAACCAAATGATCAAGGTGGAAGTGAGTGTGAGTGGGAGAAACTGAAAGGATGGCACGTTTGATCAGCAGCTTCCTGAAGAATCCCTCATGTCTGTTCCCCTTGTTAATGTGACGGGCTTCTGGATTCTCCAGGAAGCTGCTGACCAAGCCTGCCATTCTTTCTGTTTCTTCCACTCTCTTCTACCTCGAGCATTTGTTTAGACTCGTCACATGAAGATGAAGATCAACCTGAAAACCAGCTCATACAGTGAATGCGTCTCAAACCAGTTTCCTGGAGTATCCAGAAGCCCGTCACATTAACAAGAGGAACAGACATGAGGGTGCCACTAGAGGCAGGCAGCAGTGCAAGAAGTCACTCAGGTACCCACCTGCATTGCCCGCCTGCTTGATCGCCTGGTAGAGAAGCAGATCCCCTCAACTCAACCCCTTGAACCTTGGGAGGAAGAGGGGTGTGCTGTTGGGAAGCAGTATGGCAGCGTACCTGCATTGCCCGCCTGCTTGATCGCCTGGTAGAGAAGCAGATCCTCGGAACTCAGCCCCTTGAACCTGGCAGCATGGCAAGGCACGCAAGGAGCGGCATTGATATCAGTGTGGGATGGCTGGGCAGTGTGGGATGGGATGGGATGGCATGGGATGGGACGGGATGGCAAGGGATGGGATGGGATGGGATGGGATGGGATGGGATGGGATGGGATGGGATGGGATGGGATGGGATGGGATGGGATGGGATGCCATTGAATGACATGCAAACGCATTAAACATATCAAACCTGGGCTGACAGACTCCCTCTTGGGCTGCAGGGGAAACCAAGGAAACGAGGAAACGAGGCTGCGCCATGCAGTCAAGGCGACTTTTGAGTCGACTCAAAAGTCACCTCGTAACAAGGAAACGAGGCTGCACGATCAGTCAAGGCATTGCATAAAATGTAGACTTGGAGTACCCCATCGAGTACAGCCAAGTTGTTGCCGTTACGCGTGACATTGTTGGAACGAGGTGACTTTTGAGCCGACTCAAAAGTCACCTCTGCACAATGCAATCAATACATGGCATGGAGTGTAGGCTTGGAGTAGTGCTGCTAAGTTGGCATAGCATTGAGTACTGCTAAGAGGGTGGCCAAAGTAGAGTGTTGAGGTCAGCTAAGCTTAGCTGACGTCGACTCGCCCCCAAAACTGCTCAGTGATGCGCATGGACAGTGACTTTTGAGTCGACTCAGAAGTGATGCGCATGCACAGTTTGTGCAAGGGCAATTTTTGAGGCGCCTCAAAAATCGTTTCTGCAAGGGCAAGGCAGGGAACAAAAACCACAAGCATGCAAAATGTTGCCACATCAACACCACGACATCCGTGCTGAATTGAGGGTGACGGGTGGCTCGCGTCTGCAACTACTTTTTTCGCGAGTCTCCCGTGCTTTCGTAACTTCGTGTTTGGTGTTTTGTTGGGTCCCTCAATGCTTTGTGGACACTTCTTTTACTGCCCGAACTATTGTTGAAAAAGCCGTGTTTAACGTCAACCGTGATAACAGGATTTCGGGAGCCCTACTTTGGCCATCCCGGAAATCGTAACCGTAGCATGTACAGTGGTGGCCCGCTTTAGAAGTCGGTGATGTCCCACCAACGCTACTTTGGCCACCCTCTAAACCAGGAGGAGCACTCACTGCACGGCTTGATCTTGGCTGACATGCTTGTAAACAAGGGTATCTCCCGATTTGAATAGCTGAAGCGCTCTCTGAGGAAGACACAACACAGTGCAGGGAGGTGGGGCAAGTGGGAAAGGTATGACAGATGATGAAGCAGGGGTGAGGTAAATGGTATAAACGTGAACATTTACAAAAAATTGTGAACATTACGTGTGCAAGATACAACAGATATAAACAGTACGTACAAATACAACATATATGAACAGCATGTACAAAATACGACATAAATGGACAGAGATACAACTATCAACAGATACACACACAACAAGCTTCACCTTATGTAAGTACATAAATCGCGCCAACTCGGTCGGCCAGAGATGCATATATATACATGGCAGATATGTACATACACAACATAGATGTACATTACAGACATGCACATTCACAATATAGATGTACATACACAACATAGGTGTACATTACAAATATCCACACGATGTCCACCTTCTGTAGCAACCCATGGATACCGACCCAGTCGGCCACAGATGAATACAGATATGCATACAAGGTTCATACAGCTTGTCTAAACGCAGACTCATACGTGTTTATATGCACCCTAGCGGCTAGCCTTACCTTCTGGAGCAGCCCATTGATGGCACCGACCCGGTCGGCCAGAGGAACGTATGAGAGCTCCGACTCGAGAATCTTGTCGGATAGGCCCTGGATTCGAAGCGGGTTAGGAGGTGATGAGGCAGCACGAAATGGGGATTAGAGATGAGGCGCCTCAAAACTAGACTTCTTCGAAGCGGGTTAGGAGGTGATGAGGCAGGCAGCACGACATGGGGTTAGGTAGGAGGCACGTAAGGTCTGTAGGTGGCACTGACAAGGCCGGCCAGAGTAACGTATGAGAGCTCAGACTCGAGCATCTTGTTTGATAGTCCCTCCCGGCATTCAAAGGGGTGAACAGTGTCCAGCATTGGAATTTAGCGCATCAAATGTCCGAATCCGAGAGTCTGGAAGAGGCATGGCATTGTCTCGCAAATGGCATTAGCATCGTCCCGAAGGAATTATGGCATTGGCTGGTGGCATTTTTTAGAATTCTCAAAAATCACCTACAGAATGAAATATGGCATTGGCTGGTGGCATTTTTTAGAATTCAAAAAAATCACCTACAAAATGAATTATGGCATTGGCTGGTGGCATTATTCAGAATTCTCAAAAATCACCTACAGAATTAATCATGGCATTGGTTGGTGGCATTTTTTAGAGTTCGCAAAAATCACCTACAAAATGAATTATGGCATTGGCTGGTGGCATTTTTTAGAATTATAAAAAATCACCTACAGAATGAATTTTGGCATTGGCTGGTGGCATTTTTAGAACTCTCAAAAATCACCTACAGAATGAATTATGGCATTGGTTGGTGGCATTGCTGGCAAGGCAATGACACAGTCAGTCGGTCGGTCATACCACCATGGCCACCGACAAGGTCCGCAGCCAGAGAATCAAATGAAAATGTGATACCTCGGGGTTCTCCTTGGGGTTTTGAGACTCGCGCATTAAGACGTGTGTCCACCATTAAGACTCGTACCTTGAGATTCTCCTGACACGACTCAGGATGCTCGTCCCGTCCTGAAATGACGCCTATGACAATGAGGCCAGCCAGAACAGTTCAGCTCAGCTATGACGCCTTCTCAACAGGTAGCAGGCGGTGCTACAACGGCATAGAAGTGATGGGTTCCTGATTCGTACCTCGGGGTTCTCCTGGCACATCTCCAGAATGCTCTTTTTCAGCAATGACAGCGATGCCAGGCTGCCAGCTCAGCTATATGACGCTGTCTCAACAGGTAGCATGCAATGCAATGTGGCGTGGCCACAATGGCCTTCAAGGAAAAACCCTTGATCCGTACCGTACCTCGGGGTTCTCCTGGCACAGCTCCAGGATGCTCTTCTCCAGCGACAAATGCATCTCCATACACATGTCGTGAACCTGTCAATCATACTCCGTTAATTTGTACCTCAGGATTCTCCTGGCAGAGCTCCAGGGCGCTCCTCTCCCGCGACGAGCCTTCTCAAAAGCTGGATGCACGGCTACAAGGGCATAATCTGGCCGTCTAGATCCATGCCTCCTCACCATACCTCACCATACCTCACCATACTAAAAACGTCGAGATTCTCCTGGCACAGCTCCAGAAAGCTCTTCTCCAGCGACAAATGCACGTGTCGTATGCCTGTCATAATACTCCGTGAACTCGCACCTCGGGGTTCTCCTGGCACAACTCCAGGATGCTCTTCTCCAGCGACGACAGCGACGAGCCCGCCATCGTTTCCTTCCCCCACACTCCCCGCCTCCTCCCCCACGGCCCCCTCACTCCCTACCTCCCCTGCTCCACACTCCGGGCTTAGCTGTGTCCCCTGTGCTTCGCTTGCTGTAGGTGATTTTTGAGAATTCTCAAACACTCCCTACCTCCCCTGCTCCACACTCTGGGGGCTTAGCTGTCTCCCCTGTGTGTTGCCTGCTATACAGACCTTCACTAGGTGGAGCAAAAGGCCGCCGTTGTGCCACCTTGGCTTGGAAATTCGGGATTCGCGCGAAATAGGCTAACTGTCTCTCCCCCTGACCGCTATGGCCGTCCCGTCTGACTGCGCTGACTGTCCTGAGCGTGCCGGCCGTTATGACCGTTAAAACCGTTCAGTCTGACCGTCCTGAGCGTGCCGGCCGTTATGACCGTTAAAACCGTTCAGTCTGACCGTCCTGAGCGTTCCGGCCGTTATGACCGTTCAGTAGCTGAGCATCCAACGGCGAGCAATGCGGAAGCGGATGTCTCAAGTAGCTGCTCAAGAGCCTACCGCCGTGACTAGCATGGTCCCTCTGACACTGCTGATCGTCCTGGCCGTCCAACGGCGAGCAATGCTGAAGAGGGTGTCTCGCGCCGCTGCTCAAGAGCCTAACGTCCTGACCAGCCTGATCGTCCTGAAAGCTGACCGTTGTGTCGTGATCGTCACGCTACGACGCGAAAGTCGGCGTTCGGGCACCTTGCGGAAGCGAAACGCAAAGCAGCGACGAGACGTCGCTCGGAGTGTGCGATTCCGAAAGAAGCAGGAGAGGACTCTCTTGGGAGAGAAAGGGAGGAAGAATAGTAGGCTAGGGGAGTGAGTCAAGGAACAACCCAACCATGCGTGAAGCTCAGGAGTTGTTTTTCTGGCTGACTAAACTAGCAATTTTCTGGTTACATTTGTACCACTAAACTACTCGCCGTGTCATGTCAAGATCGCTATTTTTGAGACGCTTCCAGTTTCATGTTTCGTGGCTCGGTTTGGCTCTCTCGTTGCGCCTTCAGATGTCGCTGAAAGTGACATTTGCTCTCGCGAGCTCCCTTTTATTACGAGGGTGGGGGGAGGGAAAACCTTCAAGATTTAACAACTATAACACTGATGAAATTTTCCAGTACACACACCAGGTTTGCTCCGTTCCTACAACCGCGGATAACCCGTTTGAAGCTCACATATCACATGCCATCAACAAACACCTTCCTCGTTTCTAGCAAAAACCATCATGGAAGGCTGAACAACTACAGCCGACACTCTCAGCCTCGCCTCACCTCAGCAACCACTAGGGTTTTCTTATGCCACGTGCTCAGTTCACCACGTGCTAAGAGCAATTTGACCTAGTTTATTTATCTTTAGCCATTCTGGAGCCGCCTATGGCGACGACGCCGGCTAGCGACTCGGATGCAGCGGGGGAGCCCTGTGCGTCCAATGCGAGCGAAGCCGCGAGTTTCGACTCAGCGCCATCCGCGTTTCAAGAAGCCCCCTCGTTCCAGGAAGGTTCATCCTCGTTTCAAGAAGCCTCGTCAAACGCGGATGGTAGTTCGGATCAGCTGCCAGAATCGTCTCCGCAGGTCCCTGCGGGGACCCTCGGTTCTGAATCAGCAACATATGACAGCGAACCGCCGGCATATAACGGCGAATCGACAGCATTCAACGGCGAACCGAAAGCATTCAACAGCGAATCAGCAGCATACAATGGCGAATCGGCCGCATATACTGGCGAATCAGCAACTTTTAACGGTGAATCGGCCACGTACGGTCCTGATTCGACGCAAGATCAGATCGGAACTGGCGAAACCGAATCCAGCCTCCCGTCCTCCCTATCCGTCTCATCCACCCTCCCCGCGTCCCTATCGGCGTCCTCCCCTTTCGCTGCGGTAATCACCCCACAAGGGATCAGCCCAGCGCCCTACCCTCCCCAGAATATGGTAATTCCCCCCAGTCCCCAGAACGTTCCTATAACGAGCGTTATCTCTCCTTATCAGCACTTCCCCGGCTCGTCACCCGACCAGTACCCGTCGGTATTCCAGCAGTACCAGTCTTGGAGCGGCCACGCGGGGCCGTTCGGAATGCCGCCGTTGCTGCCTGGCGCTCCGCAGCAGTTCTCCCAGACCTCCGCGCAGTTTCAGCCCGCCTCCGCGCAGTTTCCCCCTGCCTCCCCGCAGTTCCCCCCTGCCTCCCCGCAGCAGTTTCCGCCCGCCTCCCCGCAGTTCCCCCCTGCTTCCCCGCAGCAGTTCCCCCATCAGCAGTTTCCGCCCCAGCAATTTCCCCCGCAGCAGTTTCCGCCGCAGCAGATGTTCGGAATGGGTTTCGCGCGTGGACCCCCGGGGCAGTTTTCCCCGTCCCCCAATTTCTCTCCGCCAACCATCCCCGCGCAAAACATACCCCCCGGCCTAGCTGCGCAGGGCATGGGTCCGCTTATGGGCCCGCCGTCCGGTTTCGGCCCCCATAACATTCCCCGGAATATGAATGCTAACGCTAACGTTAACGTTAACGTGCAAGCTGGTTACAACGCCGCCGGCCAAGGGTTTGGTAACCCGAGCCAGGGTAACTTCTCGACTCGGAAACCTAATAACCCGAGGCGAGGCCCGTACCAGCAGCAGCAGCAGCAGCAGCAGGGGCAGCAGGGGCATTTCCGGAACAACCCCCCGCAGATGCAGGGAAACCCTAATTATGGCCACACGCAGAATATGGAGGAATTAGAGGAGATGCTAAAGAAGCTTAATCCGGATGCTAAGGCGTATTCTCCCCCTTCAGGGGGAGCAGGGGGGGGGAGAGGCGGGGGAAGGAGGGGGGCGGGGAAGACAGTCGGAGCAACGGCGGGGGGAGGGGGAAAGGGGGAACAGGAGGAGACAGGGGAGGATCCGGGGGAGGGGAAGGGGGAGGGAACGTAGATGGTCAGCGGCAGGGTGACGTGGCGGCTTCTGTAGGCGCCACGTCAGCACGTAATGAGCAAGCGTCGCCGAATGGGGGGCAGCAGGGGATGGAGGGACGGCAGAACCAGCACCAGCAGATGAAGGTGAGTGGTTACCAGTGTCGTGGTTACCAGTCTCGTGGTTACAATGAAATGGTAACGAACTGTTCTGGTTCTTTGCTAAACCCGCACCTTATCTCCACCCTTCGCTCTTAATCCCTGTCTCCAGGGCCAGACTAACTAAGGGTCCCGGCCCAGGAGGTGCAGGGATGGGAGGCGGTGGTGGTGGTGCTGCTGGTGTCTTTGAGGCACCTCAATCAATGCTCGATTCCACCCCCCTCACCTTCTCTCCACCCCCCTCACCTTCTCTCCGTCCCCCTCACCGTGCCTCCGTCCTCTGCTGCCAATCCCCGTCTCCAGGGCCAGAATAAGGGTCCCGGCCCAGGAGGTGCAGGGATGGGGGGCGGTGCTGATGGTGGTGGTGGCGGCATGGGTGGCAATCAGCGCAGGGGGCAGCAGGCGAGGGCGGGCCAGCAGCCCACGGAGGAGAGCACGCAGAGGACGGTCTATGTGTCGGACATCGACCACCAGGTGATGGAATTGTTGCTGTTGGTCTGCTGAAACAGCACAGGGGGGAGCAGTCAAACGGAGGAGGGAGAGCACGCAGAGGACGGTCTATGTGTCGGACATCGACCACCAGGTGTTGATGGGACTGGTGCTTGGGTGATGGTGGGGTTGGTGGGTGGTGGCTTTGGCGATGTACAGCATAGGGAGCAGCAACCAACGGCGGGGCGGCCAGCAGCTCACTTAGGAGAGCACACAGAGGGTGGTGTATGTGCGTCGGACATCGACCACCATGTGATGATGGGACTGGTGCTTGGGGGACGGGTGCGTGGGACTGGTGCTTGGTAGGTAGGTGGTACTAGTGGTGGTGGCACCAGTGGTAGTCAGCGCAAAAGGCAGCAGCGAACGGAGGAGAGCACGGGGAGACGGTCTATGTGTGGGACATGGACCACCAGGTGGCGGAGGAACAGATAGCGACCCGCTTTCTCTCCCCCCTGCCTGCTTTATCACCTTTCTCCTCTTTCTCTTTCCCTGCTCGTCTCCCGTCCCTCTTGTCCTCCCCTCCCCTCCCATTCCCCTCTTGTGTGCTGTCCCCATAACCCTCTCTCTCTGCCCCCGCCCTTCATCATCATCACAGGTGACGGAGGAACAGCTGGCCACCCTCTTTCTCTCCTGTGGCCAGGTGAGTTTTCAGGTGCCTCAGAACTTCAGGTGAGTTTCCAGGCGCCCGTAACTTCAGGTTAATTTCCAGGTGCCCAGGTGAGCCTAGACATGATCAAAATGCGATTGCGATTTAAATCGCATCGCATGCAGGTGCGATGTTTAAAAAAGCGATGCGATTTTAAATCGCATCGCGCGATTTATTTTTCAAAAAAAAAAAAATCGCACATCGCATTTTACCCGCGATGTATTAATAAATCGCATGCGATATTTAATTAAATCGCAAAATGCGATTTTAAATCGCATCGCGTTTTAAAACAGAAATAAAAAACACCCCCAAAAAACAGAAAAAAACCATGGCTGCGGGGAAATTGACTCACGGGCAGTCGTAAGCTAGAGTGCAAATAACCAGTGTGGTTTCGTAGTGGGTTTCAGAGTGGGTTTCAGCGCAATATCGCGCGTGATTTTTAAAAAATCGCATATCGCATTTAAATCGCGTTTTTTAAGCGCGATTAAAATGCGATTTAAATTAAATCGCGCGATATTAATTCATCGCATCGCGTGATGATTAAAAAAAAAAAAAACATCGCCATCGCAAAAACGCGATTAAATGCGATGCGATGCGATTTTTTTTGCCCATGTCTAGGTGAGCCTTCAGGGGTCTCATAAATAACTTCAGGTAAGGTTCTCACTCGCCTCAATACGCGTAGCCAGGTAAAATTCTAGGCGCTACAGAAGCAGTCACTAGGGTAGCACCCTAACGGCCTCACCTGACCTGCCGCAAAGCTACCTCTCCCACGGGCCACGGGCCACGCCTACATGCGGTCCAATAAGCATTTGCTAGTTCATGTTCTTTTCCGTGTGTGGCTCTATTTTTTTAGGCGCCTCAAACCAACCAGCGTGAACTGACTGAGGGCGCCTGAAATAGTGATCCATCCAATAAGCTTTTGCTTGTCCCACGGCTTTGCATGCTCATGTTCTTTTCCATGTGGCTCTTGCGGTGCCTCTTTCCGCATACGTTCCGTTCCGGAACTTCTTTGCGTTTTATTTTTGAGAATTCTAAAAAACAGAACACATTCTTGCGGTGCTTCTTTCCTACGTTCCGTTCGTGAAGTGACTTTTGAGTCGACTCAGAAGTCACCCCGTTCCGGAACTTCTTTGGGTTCCCTCATACACAGGTGGTGGATTGCCGTATCTGCGGGGATCCCAACTCCGTGCTCCGATTCGCCTTTGTGGAATTCACAGACGAAGGTACGCTGGGACTGAAAGCCATGTGCCATAACGAGCATGCTACTAGAGGGTACAGATGGATGGCGATGGTTTGCCTTTGAGACGACTCAACAATCGACTCAGTGCTCCGATTCGCCTTTATGGAATTCACAGGCAAAGGTATGCCCGGAACGATGCACAGGTAGTTCTTATGAGAAAGCAAAGTCTGGCTACTACTAGTCTTATGAGAAAGCATAGTCAGCATCCCAGCGTACTCTCATCGAGTCTTTATGAGAAGACACTTAGCAATGCATGCAGGCGCATGCTGGGGTACTAGTACCCGTGCTCCCTTCTCTCTCTCCTCTCCTCATGTGCCTCTCCTCTTCTTCCCCTCTCTCCTCGCATCCGTCTCTCCTCTCCTCCCCTCCTTCCTCCTACCCAGAGGGCTTCAAGAACGCACTGACCATCGCAGGCACCATGCTTGGCCACTACCCTCTCAGAGAGTACTCCCGTCTTCCTCTCATCTCATCTCCTCCTCCTCCCCCCCCCCCTCCTCCGCTCCTTCCCTCCCCTGCGACTTATCTTTCTCCTCCAGAGGGCGCCAAGAGCGCACTCAGCATCGCAGGCACCATGCTGGGATACTATCCTTTGAGGGTGCTTCCTTCCAAAACCGCCATTCTGCCCGTCAACCCGACATACCTGCCCAAGGTGCGTCAACGAGAGTCAACACCGTTCCCAGGTGTGATGAGGGCAGTACCCCCCCCACCCACCCAGCAGTGGCTCCCCTGCAAAACCGCCCTTATGCCACATATCAGAAGGGCCCTTCGCCCTTCTGCAGCAGTGACTTGTTCCTGCTGGTCAACCTGACGTACATACCTGCCCAAGGTGCGTCAGCTGGAGCCTGGGGGCAGCACCATTCCGAGGGGTGTGTTGACTTAGCCCTCCTCTGAGGTCCTTGCAGGCACCATGCGTTTCGAGCCTGCTTTTGAGTCAACTCACTTTCTGCCTGCCTACGCCTTGCATTCTTCCTTCTCCCTGGTGTGCTTTGTTTTGAACCCCCCTAAAGGCGTGTTCTTCCTTCCTTCTCTTGGACCCCTTCTTGAGTCGACTCAAAGGTCTCCTTTGTGTCAACTCAAAGGTCTCCTTTGAGTCAACTTAAAGATCTCCTTTTGAGTCAACTCAAAACCGGCCTGCCTATGCCCTGCAGTCTTTCTCCCTGGTGTGTTTCGAGCCCCCCTAGAACACTTCTGCTGAACCCCTCTGCCCTCTTGCTTCCCGTTGCAGAGTCAGGAGGAGAGGGAGATGTGTGCGCGCACCATTTACTGCACCAACATCGATAAGAAGGTGAGAAAGTGAAGGCAAGAAGGTGAGAGTAAAGGCAAGAAGGTGAGGGAGCAGCGTTAGGACGGAGTGATATCAGAGTCAGGAGGAGAAGGAGATGTGTGCGCGCACCATTTACTGCACCAAGATCGATAAGAAGGCGAGGAAGAGCTGAAGGGGAGGTGAGACTGCAGTCATAGGACCAGCACCTGACCAGCAGTCATCATAGGATGTAGATGACACATGGCATCAAGGCCGGGAGAGGGAGATGTGTGGTTGCACCATATACTGCACCAATATCGATAAGAAGGTGAGGGAATAAAGGCAAGATGGGGAGATATCAGTACTAGGAGGAACAACTAATCACATCACAGCCAACAAGGGAGATGTGAGGGAGGGGTTGAGTGAGGGTTTGGGAGGGAGAGAGAGAGAGAGAGAGAGAGAGAGAGAGAGAGAGAGAGAGAGAGAGAGAGAGAGAGAGAGAGAGAGAGAGAGAGAGAGAGAGAGAGAGAGAGAGAGAGAGAGAAATCAAGGGACTGGAGAGAAACGAAGCTCCGACTGATGCAAGGGCGAGCCTGCGCTAAAACATCAGCAACTATCAAGGCTGGCTGTAAACGTAGACTCGTTTGAGGAGTTAGTGTGCTATCACTAACTGTAAAGGTAACCTCCATCTAAGCTCCACCCCTCACTCCCTCACGCCCTCCCTCCCTCACTCCCTCCCTCCCTCACTCCATCCCTCACTTCCTCCCTCGCTCCCTCCCTCACTCCCTCCCTCACTCCCTCCCCTCACTCGCTCCTCTCACTCGCTCCGTGCACTGCAGGTCACCCAAGCAGATGTGAAGCTCTTCTTTGAGTCGCTCTGCGGAGAGGTGAGTCAGTTGATGGATTAAATGCGGTTCTATGCGGTTGATGGGTTGACTGAATGCAGTTTCATGCGGTTGATGGGTTGAATGCGGTCCAGAGCGATTGACCCCCGGCAGGCAGACGTGAAGCCCTTCTTTGAGTCGCTCTGTAAAGAGGGGAGTGGAGGTTTATAAAGGGGATAAAGTGAGGCTGAGAAGTAATTTATGCGGTTTAAGGGGATAAAGTTCTGTGGGGTTGAATTTGAACCCAGGCTGATGTGAAGCTTCGTTTTGAGTTACACTGCAGAGACGTGAGCCAAGATTTAGTGCGGTTGAATAGTGTTCGACGAAGCTGAATTGGATTCAATGCGGTTCAGTTATGTTGTATGTGGTTGAACTGCCCTCTATGCACATGTCTCCAAGCGGACTTTGAGCCCGTCCTTCTTCGCTACTGCTTGTTTATCATGTTGTTTCTTACCGCCCTTCCATGCCATCCTTACCCATCCGTAATACCCTCGCTCCTCTTCACTTGTTCACTTGTTTGTTCTCCTCCACTCGCCTTCAGATCTCTCGCCTCCGTCTGCTGGGCGACCACCACCACTCCACTCACCTCACCCCTGTTCCCAACTCCTCCTCTCAACCTCTGCTCCCCACTCCTTGCGCCTGTCGGCTCCCCATCCATCGCCCACTCCCCTCCACTCGCCTTCAGATCTCGTGCCTCCGTCTGCTGGGCGACTACCATCACTCCACTCCCCTCCACTCCACTCCACTCCACCTAGTTTCTCCCCCCCTTACCTCCCATTTTTCCCTCCACTCCCCTTCAGATCTCTCGCCTCCGTCTGCTGGGCGACTACCACCACTCCACCCGAATTGCTTTCGTTGAATTCGTGATGGTGGGTGGTGGTGGGCGGTGGTGGGCTGTGTGGGGGTTGTGCGATGGTGGGTGATGGTAGGTTGTAGGGGTTGATGGTGGGTGGTGGGTGGTGGTGGGTGGGTGGTGATGGGTTTGGAATATTTTCGCTGCTTTTTTCTCTCTACTTTTTGCAGGAGCCAGCTTTTACAAGGCCCTTGCAACGATTGACAATTACTTACAACTATCACCTGTTGCAATTGTCAATCGTTGCAAGAAGACCCTTGCTTGCTCGAACTTCTCCAACTCACCTTAACTTTCACCTTTTTTCTTTCTTTTTTAGGCGTCTCAAAATGAGGAGTCTATTTTTGAGGCGCCTCAAAAATAGACCCTTGCTTGCTCGAACGTCTCCAACTCACCTTAACTCCCACCCTTTTGCTGCATATTAGTATCATTGATTCACCACTCTCTTTCTCTACCCGCTTATGTTCTTCTCCTTCTCTTTCTTCTCCGCTCTCACCGCCAGGCTGAGAGCGCCATGGCTGCGCTGAATTGCAGCGGAGCCATCCTCGGGTCCCTGCCCATCAGGTCAGTCTCGGTCCAATCTCCATCAGGTTTGTTTGCCTTAGGCGCGTGTCCTTGCCATGTTCGTCTCCTCTCCATGTCCCTGCCCATCGCATGCCCCTCCCCATCAGGTTGGTTTCGCATGCCCCTCCCCATCAGGTTGGTTTCGCATGCCCCTCCCCATCAGGTTGGTTTCGCATGCCCCTCCCCATCAGGTTGGTTTCGCATGCCCCTCCCCATCAGGTTGGTTTCGCATGCCCCTCCCCATCAGGTTGGTTTCGCATGCCCCTCCCCATCAGGTTGGTTTCGCTATAGTGAGCCCTGTTAACACTCCGGTACCCGCACTAGCTCCCAGGGAGCCTATTTCCCCGCTCCTGGGGTCTCTGCCCCTGCTCTCCCCCTCCCCCCTCTCGCGTTGCTTCCTTACCCCTCTTTCCGTCCCCACGTCTTGCTCACCCCTCTTTCCACCCCCACGTCTTGCTCACCCCTCTTTCCACCCCCACGTCTTGCTCACCCCTCTTTCCACCCCCACGTCTTGCTCACCCCTCTTTCCACCCCCACGTCTTGCTCACCCCTCTTTCCACCCCCACGTCTTGCTCACCCCTCTTTCCACCCCCACGTCTTGCTCACCCCTCTTTCCACCCCCACGTCTTGCTCACCCCTCTTTCCACCCCCACGTCTTGCTCACCCCTCTTTCCACCCCCACGTCTTGCTCACCCCTCTTTCCACCCCCACGTCTTGCTCACCCCTCTTTCCACCCCCACGTCTTGCTCACCCCTCTTTCCACCCCCACGTCTTGCTCACCCCTCTTTCCACCCCCACGTCTTGCTCACCCCTCTTTCCACCCCCACGTCTTGCTCACCCCTCTTTCCACCCCCACGTCTTGCTCACCCCTCTTTCCACCCCCACGTCTTGCTCACCCCTCTTTCCACCCCCACGTCTTGCTCACCCCTCTTTCCACCCCCACGTCTTGCTCACCCCTCTTTCCACCCCCACGTCTTGCTCACCCCTCTTTCCACCCCCACGTCTTGCTCACCCCTCTTTCCACCCCCACGTCTTGCTCACCCCTCTTTCCACCCCCACGTCTTGCTCACCCCTCTTTCCACCCCCACGTCTTGCTCACCCCTCTTTCCACCCCCACGTCTTGCTCACCCCTCTTTCCACCCCCACGTCTTGCTCACCCCTCTTTCCACCCCCACGTCTTGCTTACCCCTCTTTCCGTCCCCTCTCCTTCCTTACACCAGGGTGAGCCCCTCCAAGACTCCTGTGCGCCCGCGAGCGCCCAGACAGCATGGGGGGAGGTAGCACTCTGCAGGGGCAGAGGGGGCAGCGTGGGGGGGGAAAGGGAGGGAGAGGGGGAGAAGAGCTCGAGGCCCCTGTGCGCCCGCGAGCGGCAGGCAGCATGCGGGGAGGTAGCAATGTGCTGGGGCGGAGGGGGAAGCATGCAGGAGGGCCGCAATGTGCAGGGGCGGAGGGGCAATATGGGGAAGGGAGAGAGGAGGGGAAGAGCCTAAGACCCTGTGTGCCCACGAGCGCCCAGGCAGCATGTGGGGAGGAGGCAAGTCACAGGTGGGGCCAGGTGGGGTGGGTGGGGTGGGGGGGTGGAGTGCGGGGGTAGCATGTGAGGGGGGGTTGAGGACCCTTTAAGACCCCTGTGCCCCCACGATCTCCCAAGCACCATGGGGAGAGGTAGCAACTGGTGGAGGGGCAACATGGAGGGAGGTAGCAACTGGTGGAGGGACAGCAAGGGGGGCGGTAGCAACTGGTGGAGGGACAGCAAGGGTGGCGGTAGCAACTGGTGGAGGTGCAGCATGGGGAGAGGTAGCAACTGGTGGAGGTGCAGCATGGGGAGAGGTAGCAACTGGTGGAGGTGCAGCATGGGGAGAGGTGGCAACTGGTGGAGGTGCAGCATGGGGAGAGGTAGCAACTGGTGGAGGTGCAGCATGGGGAGAGGTAGCAACTGGTGGAGGTGCAGCATGGGGAGAGGTAGCAACTGGTGGAGGTGCAGCATGGGGAGAGGTAGCAACTGGTGGAGGTGCAGCATGGGGAGAGGTAGCAACTGGTGGAGGTGCAGCATGGGGAGAGGTAGCAACTGGTGGAGGTGCAGCATGGGGAGAGGTAGCAACTGGTGGAGGTGCAGCATGGGGAGAGGTAGCAACTGGTGGAGGTGCAGCATGGGGAGAGGTAGCAACTGGTGGAGGTGCAGCATGGGGAGAGGTAGCAACTGGTGGAGGTGCAGCATGGGGAGAGGTAGCAACTGGTGGAGGTGCAGCATGGGGATAGGTAGCAACTGGTGGAGGTGCAGCATGGGGAGAGGTAGCAACTGGTGGAGGTGCAGCATGGGGAGAGGTAGCAACTGGTGGAGGTGCAGCATGGGGAGAGGTAGCAACTGGTGGAGGGACAGCAAGGGGGCGGTAGCAACTGGTGGAGGTGCAGGGGGAATGGAGGGGACATGTGGGGTTGGGGAAGGGGGCGAATGGACCAAGGCAAATCAGAACGTACGTTTTGCGTTTGGACATTATAAAAGACTGGGAGCAGTGATAGTGAAAGCTTTTTCCTGCTGGGTCATTATTGGGTTAGTTCTTCAGGCGCCTTAAAAAAGGCAGAAAATGCTGGGTAAGTTTCTCAGGCGCCTGAATTGCTGGGGTTAGTGGAACTGAGCGGGGTTGATGGACCCACGGAAGCAGAAGAAGCTGCTGCAGCTGCTGGGCTTTTGAAAGCAGTGGCTGCGTCGAGGATTAATTTATGCAATTATCTTGGAGGTGCAGCTGCTGGGTAGTCGTAGACAGAAGTGACTCTGCTGGGTTGTTGCGCCCACTGAAGAAGAAGACGAAGAAGAAGCTGCTGAAGCTGCTGGGTTGAATGCGTGAGGAGTCTATTTTTTAGGCGCCTCAAGAATGCAATCGTTGGTTGGAGCTGAAAGGGGAATTTTTGAGTCGACTCAAAAGTCACCTTGTTGGTTGGAGGCTTGGAGCTGAAAGGGTAATAATACGTGCGAATAACTGCAGAGGAGGAATAAGGGAGCGAAGAATAAGGGCGCGGAAAATGGTGTGCAACACGGGCAAGCAGGCTCAGGCGCAGCAGCAGTGATTGCCAGAATAAAGGGGAGAGGATAAGGCAACAGCACACTGCAGCGATATGAGGTGGGGGTGTGTGTGTGTGTGGAGGTCCAGCAGCAGCAGTTTCAGCGGGAGTGTGAGGAGCAGGCTCAGGCACAGCAGCAGCAGTGGCAGTTGCCAAAATAAAGACGCAAGAGCAAGACAACAGCACACTGCAGTGGTGCAAGGTGGGTGGGTGTGTGTGTGTGTAGAGGACCATCCACAGTAGCAGCAGTTTCAGTGGGAGTGTGAGGGCTGGGTTCAGGTGTTGCAGTAGTGGTTGCCAGAATAAAGGAGAGAGGATAAGGCAACAGCACACTGCAGCGATATGAGGTGGGTGTGTGTGGAGGACCAGCAGCAGCAGCAGCAGCAGCAGCAGTTTCAGTGGATGTGTGGGGCAGGTCTAAGAGCAGCAGCAGCAGTTGTTGCCAGAATAAAGATTGAGAACAAGGCAACGGCACACTGCAGAGGGCTCTGAGGGGGTGTGTGTGTGCAGGAACATCAGCAGCAGCGTCACTGGTGGTGGGTGTGGCACAGCAGCAGTGGTTGCCAGAAAAAAGATAGAGAACAAGGCAACAGCACACTGCAGCGATGCGATTCAGCAGCAGGAGCTGGCAGGTGGGGGGGTGGTGGGTGGTGGCATCAGCAGGCAGGAGCAGCAATGGCAGCTGCGATAACAATCGCAGAGTATTTTTTAGAAATTTCAAAAACGCCTTGCATATTCGGAGGTGGGAAGGTAGTGGGGGGCCGGGGGCGTCAGCAGGCAGGAGTAGCAATGGCAACTTCAGTAACAAACGCACCATTCAAACCCCTCCTGGTTGGTCAGATAAAATTTTCCAGGTTATTTATACGCAGGTTTTTTATGACAGTGCAGTGGAATCCATCCGGTTGACTGGGCGATGGAAAATATGTCACAAAGGATAAGTATGCCATGCATTTAAAGCCGTTGATCCAAATTGCAGAAATTGCCTTTCGAGTTTATTAATCTTGAAACCCCCCGATTGGTAACCCAGTTCCCCAGAGCGATTGCAAAAACGAAAGTTGCGCAACCAAACGAGGGGAAACAGTCTATAATCTTGCGCCACCCCCAGCTGATTATGTCCCTGCCCCCGCCACACCAGGCGTTTGAGCGGAAAGAAACTTGAACTTCCCCCCGTACATTTTGGGACTTTTCAGAGTGCAAATCCAGCCCAGCGCCACTACGCCCTAGGCAGCGAAAGCACCATGCACAGCACACGCCAGTTTTTATTAGGGCACGGTACAAATCGTTTCAAGTGAGGTACGCGACTTGAACTCGCAAAAAAATATTATTATAGAGCCTTCTTGATCGCGTTGAAAACAGTCTAAACGTCTACAACCGCATCAGCTGTTCGAATTTCAGTTTGAAGACATACTCGTGATATGAGGTTTACCACGCCCTGATATGCGCAAGTCGAGTTGCTTGGCGATTTCAAGCGAGTTGCGCAACTCGGCCAGGATGCGCAACCCAGAGTCACGTGCCCTTCCTTCCCGCTGTTTCCAGTGTTCCACGCTGTGCCGTGCGCCGCTCTGACCAAGGTATTCTTCCCCCACTCCCCCCTGCGCCTTGAGCGCGCCCCCACTTTCCTTTTCACCACCCTCGATTTATCAGAATGAGAGAAGTGAATGATCATTAGAGAGAGAGTACAGATGGATATAACTAAGTATTGTACTCTCTAAGAAGTTACCCTATACAGTCTATGCAAACATAACAGATACACCTGTTTGACACACCCCCTAGACTGTATAGGGGAATGACCTGAACAAGCAGCTCAGGGCGGCACTACTAGTCCAACCTCTGAGACAAGGGTCTAAAAGACCAGTCAGAAGGAGTTGAAACAAGGCAAGAACAAGACCAGGGCGGTACTACTAGTCCAGCAACTGGGAGAGGACACAAGTCCAGTCTGAGTATAAATATAAAGGACAGTACAAAGTCAAGGCCCTAGCAAGTGAGAGGCTACAGGAACTAGACCAAGCTGTACGCAGTGCCGCTGATGATCTTTAGGCGCAAGCGCCTTCGTAAAGATATCAGCTGTGTTGGCACCTAAGGCCAAGTGTACTACGCGAGCCTGGCGTCGCTGCTGTAGCTCGCGCAGGAGGAAGTATCGCAGCTGAATATGCTTCGCTCTGCCCTCGAGTCGAGGCTCCTGACACAGGAGGATCATGGCCCTGTTGTCAGCGAACAGGACCAGGGCAGAGCTAGGCCGCTCACCTAAGTCAGTGAGCAAGAAGGTCAGCCAGCGGAGCTCCTGTGCCGCCATGGCACCAGCGTAGATCTCAGCCTCACAGCTGGACTGGGCAACAGACAAGGAGCGGGTAGCTCTCCACGAGACGGCACCTGAACCAAGGCTGAAGCAGTAGCCCTGGGTAGACCTGAGTGTCTCGGCGTCGTCTTGAGCGCCAGCATCTCGAGAGAGCCAGACAGAGCGCGCACGGGCAGTGGCAGCAGTAGACTCGCGCTCAGTGGGTGCGGAGTCAGCGGGCAGCACAGCAGGGGGGTCTGGGCAGGGGAGCGTACCGTCAAGGTGTGCGGAAAGCGGTTCACCATCCTGCCGCTGGCCAGTGAGTTGGCGCCGGAGGTCGGCAAGCCATGCCTCGAACTCCAGAGGCTGGCCTTCAGCGTCGAAGCGAAGCTCCGCCGCCATCAGGGGCAGTGCAGGACTGTACAGTGCGGTGCAGTGCAGAGCAGGGCAGTGCAGTGCGGTACAGGGCAGTGCAGTGCAGTGCAGGGCTTTGCAGGGCGGTGCAGGGCAGTGCAGTGCAGTGCAGGGCGGTGCAATGCGATGCAGTGCAGTGCAGTGCGGTGGAGGGCGGTGCAGGGAGAGGGGGGGGGGGAACCGTACCAGTGAGGATGCAGGGGCCGGGGCAGGGCACGACAGGGCCCCGAGAGCGCGACGGGGCCGAGCGGGCGCGACGGGGCCGGGCAGGGCGCAATGGGGCCGGGCGAGTGCGACGGGGCCGGGCGGGTGCGACGAGGCCGGGCGGGTGCGACGGGGCCGGGCGGCCGCAACGGGTCCGGGCAGGGCGCAACGGGGCCAGGCGGGTGCGACGGGGCCGGGCGGGTGCGACGGGGCCGGTCGGGTGCGACGGGGCCGGGCGGGCGCGACGGGGCCGGGCGGGCGCGACGGGGCCGGGCGGGCGCGACGGGGCTGGGCAGGGAGCGACGGGGCCTGCAGGCGTGACGGGGCCCAGGAGGGGCGCTACGGGGCCCAGGAGGGGCGCTACGGGGCCCAGGAGGGGCGCTACAGGGCGAGGGGCGTAGCGGGGCCCGGGAGGGTCGCGACGGGGCTAGGGGGTCGCGACGGGGCCCAGGACGGGCGCGGCAGGGCTAGGGGCATGACGGGGCCCAGGGGGGTCGCGTCAGGGCGAGGGGGTCGCGACGGGGCCCAGGAGGGGCGCGGCAGGGCTAGGGGCACGACGGGGCCCAGGGGGGTCGCGGCGGGGCTAGGGAGTCGCGACGAGGCTAGGGAGGTCACGACGGGGCCCAGGAGGGGCGCGGCAGGGCTAGGGGCACGACGGGGCCCAGGTGGGTCGCGACGGGGCCCAGGACGGGCGCGGCAGGGCTAGGGGTACGACGGGGCCCAGGGGGGGTCGCGACGGGGCCCAGGAGGGGCACGGCAGGGCTAGGGGCACGACGGGGCCCAGGGGGGTCGCGACGGGGCTGGGGGGTCGCGACGGGGCTAGGCCAGGGGCACGGCGGGGCCCAGGGGGGGGTTCGCGGCGGGGCCTAGCTAGGGGACGAGCGGAAGCGGTAGGTGGGGGATCCTAACCTACGCGTGATACCATATCAGAATGAGAGAAGTGAATGATCATTAGAGAGAGAGTACAGATGGATATAACTAAGTATTGTACTCTCTAAGAAGTTACCCTATACAGTCTATGCAAACATAACAGATACACATGTTTGACACGATTTCCCCCAGTCGTTGTTTGCGAACGTTTTGGTTCTGTCATAATTTGTATGCTCGTTCTGATTGGTTTTTGTAGTGTGCTGTGTTCGCCCACTCTCGCCACCCTCACACCACTCCTCCACGCCCGTGTTCTTTCTCCACCTCAACTTTTTGCCTGGTTCATCTTGATTAATCTTGTACGTTTTGGGTCAACGGCTTTAATAAGGGCCTGTGGTGCTGGCACAGCGATGGAATTGCTCTGGGACTGACACAGTGCAAGGCTGCTACAGCCCCATGATTCGCAGAGCAGGGGTGGTTGTCAGCATATATTTGTATATGTTTATAGGCTAGCTAGGTGCATGCCCATAGAGAGTACAACACGTAGCACAAAACTACCCTCTACCGTCTATTCTAGTCATTCCGTTACTCTGAGATGGTATCAGTTAGGTTAGGTCCGCCCACCAACTTCCACCCTAGCCGACCTCGCCCACCCTAGCCGCTGTAGCTCGCCCTAGCCCGCTTTAGCCGCCCTAGCCTGCCCTAGCCGCGGTAGTTTGCTGGCCCCGCGCTCATCGGCCCCTCGCTCGCTGGCCCCGCGCCCGTTGGCCCTGCGCTCGCCGGCCCCTAGCTCGCCGGCCCCACGCTCGCCCGCCCCGCGCTCGCTGGCCCCGTGCTCACTGGTCCCGCGCTCGCCGGCCCCGCGCTTGCTGGCCCCTAGCTCGCCAGCCCCTAGCTCGCCAGCCCCGCGCTCACCGGCCCCGCGCTCGCCAGCCTCGTGCTCGCCAGCCCCTAACTCGCCAGCCCCTAGCTCGCCGGCCCCTCACTAACCGGCCCCTCACTAGCCGGCCCCTTGCTCGCTGGCCCCTAGCTCCCCGGCCCCTCGATCGCCGACCCCTTAGCTTGCCGACCCCTTAGCTTTCCGGACCCTCGCTCCCAGGCCCCAATTCGCGCCGACCCTGGTCCCAACGTGCCGCTGTGTCGAACCGCCATGCCGCCGTGTCGCTGTGCCGCAGTGCCGCTGTGCCGCTGTGTCGCCGTGCCGCCGTGTTGCCGTGCCGCCATGCCGCCGTGCCCAGGAGTCGCCTTGTCGCCGTGCCGCAGTGTCGCCGTGCCGCTGGGTCGTCGTGTCGCCGTCAGCCGCTGCGGCTGTGGTGATGGCGGACGCTGTGCTCCGCCTGGACGTGGAGGGTCGGGCGATCGATTTTGAGGCGTGGCTCGTCGACCTTCGCCGTCAGCTGACGGGTCAGCACCCGGACGTCTATTCCCTGGCCGTCCATGTCGACGGTAAGCTCCCCCGCCCTGACGCACCTGCTGCCCTCTCTAACGCCCCACCATTGCTGAGCGTGAGGCCTTTGCCGCTGCTGAGCTTGCGCACACCGTCTGGGAGTTGCGCGACGCCGTAGCGCATCTTACTATCAATCATGCCCTCCCCCTGTCTGAGTGCCCCCGCTTCATGGCTGTAGCGAATGCGAAGGAGTACTTAGATGTGGTCATTGTGCTCTATTCCATCCTTCCGTCGCCTCTGCCAGCCATCTGATCCTCCCCATGCTATTCCCTAATCTTGCGTCCTTCCCCACTGTCGCTGTTCTTGCCACTCATCTCCGCGCCATTGAGACTAGCTAGCACTTAGGCCCAGGACGCTGCATTCCCTCCTCCCCTCTGTGCTACCCTTTACCTCATTGCCACACGCCTTCCTAACCGCCTCGCCACTGCTCGCGACCACTTCCTCAGTCAGCACCCATGTGACCTCACCCTTACTGCCTTTGTCAGCACCCAGTCTGCGATCGAGGCCCGCCAGCGTACTATCGCTCAGTCTAGCATTACTGCATCGGTCCCTATCTTCTAGGGTTGTGGTCCCTCTCAGTGCACTTACTGTACTCTGACGTTACTGCCACTGTCACTGAAACAGCCCCTGCTGCTGAGACCGCAGCCGCCGCGGATCTCCGCGTCGCCTCATCAGGGTAAGGGCCGCCGCCCGAAGGGGGGGCGTGGCAAAGGGAGGGGTGGTGTGTCACAGGATCGAATGAGGTTTGCTCAATA